CAAATGAAGAAAGTGGAAAGATGATTAGTCTTTAAAAGTATTAATAAAACCCTAAACCCCTAATCTTAATTAGACTCCACCAGGGGACCCCTGCGTGATTCCGATGCTCCACAAGAAAAGAGTGGCAATCATTGAAGAATGGCAGCATACTTAGCAATATTCATAAGTTTTTTTTTTTTAACGAATTTATAAGGGTCAGATTCGAACTATTGTATTGAGGAAGGAAAATACACTTATATGTGACATGATGTTATTGAAACAAAAACCCAAGTGCATTTGTATGTAAGCTTTTTAATATAAAAGTATGTGGGGTTTATATAATAATATGCATTTAGATTTTTTTTAACAGTAAAAAATAATTAAATTAACATTAATATCTGTATTTTAGTATTCAAGAAGATTCGAACGGATGACCTACACCTACTCTCCATGAAAGAGCGTGGCCCAACTAGTGGACCGCAGGGGCGAGTTCATAATATGCATTTAGATTGGGAAACGAGTAAATGGGAAGTAATGACCAATGTTTCTTTTTAATCCTTAAATATTGAAATTGATGTAAATCATTATTATTTTGTAAGTCATATATACAATTTAAATGAATCTGATCGGTGGGTTACGTGATTTTAATTATTATTATAAAATTTATATTTTTCTTTCTTAAAAATAATGGTTCGAGCTAACTTCATAATTAAATGTTCAAAATATCTATATAATTAAATGTTCAAAATATCTATATATGTATACAATTTAAACTTTTTAAGAATCTATCCCTGTAGGTCAGGTAACTTTAATCATTTTTATAAGATTTATATCTTTTTTTTCAAGAGTAATGATTCAAGTCGGTTCTAAGACAATATATTTAAAAAAAAAAAAAAAGCTTTTTAAAATAACATAAATATATATTTAGACATTTAATCCTAACTAATTTTATAAATACTTAATTTTTTAATCACTTTATCAATCTATGTGGTTAAAAAGATTCATGAACTTAGATGCAGTTCTCTGTTTCTTTCTCTCTCTCTTTTTTTAATGGTGATGGAGTGGCTTTAACAGGTGCGACTCCGGGATCGGGGGCGGAGACGGCTCGAGTGTTGGCCAAACGAGGGGCGCGATTGGTACTTCCGGCGCGGAGTCTCAAAGCTGCTAAGGAAGCTAAGGCGCGGATTGTATCGGAGTTTCCTGATTCGCAGATCATTGTCATGGCACTTGATCTAAGCTCTCTTTCTTCTGTTCGAAAATTCGTAGCAGAGTTCGAGTCGCTTGATATGCCTCTCAATCTTCTGATGTATGCAACTTGAAATCTCCTAATTTATTTATTTATTTTTCTCTTTTAACTTCGGATAATTTTTCCTGTTTGGTTACTAAGAAAAGGAAAACAAACTGATTAAACTAACAGCAATTTTTTTTTTTTTTTTGTTGATTAGTATCTCAACTTTCAACTTCCAAAGTAATAGTTAGTGGCACATGGAAGCCCAATTTAAAGCTTGCAATGAAAAGGACTTATGCGTAGTGCTTCAAAATCTTGAGGCCCAATAATCGTATCTACTAACCTCTTAGCCCAAAATTCCTAGAACCCTAAACCTCTGAAATTCCTCCGAAGCACAAACCTTTTTGTTTGCTCTATTAGATTCAAGCTTCTCTTCTGAAAATGGCGTCCTTAATCCCAGAAACAACCCAGAAAATCTTGACCCATGAAGCCCTTCGTTCAGCAGCCAAGCAATCTACAGGCTGCCTCGTCGTTCCGGTGCGCCTTCGTCGTGCCATTAAGAAGTACCTCCGAGGTACGACCATCTTTACATGTAGCTCACAAGTCACAATTTCCACTTTTGCAACTTACAGTTTTTTCTTTTGATCAAATGGGTATTGAATTATTGTAGAGGAAGCAGACCCTTATATGAAGAGGAAGGTGCTGAGCTTATCGCAGTCTTTTAGCGTGATCAAGGACGTCCATCTGCACCTCGCCTCATCCACATCCAAGGAGCTTGTTGAGGACCCTTTGAAGTCTTTGGAACGTTCAAAGAGGTGGAAGATCAAGAGTTCTTATGGAGATATTGGTTTTAAGTATAGTGATGACCAGACAGTGGCTTATGTTGCTTCACGAATGCCTGCAGTTTACTCTGCTTGTTATAGGGTTCTCAGTGAGGTATCATAGTTTCTGAATTGCTGTGCATAATGGGTCTTTGTTTAAAAACTAAAAAAACTCGGGTCAATAATCGCCAAAGATCAGCTATTTCTGGGTTTATTTTATGGATATTGGATTCCTTCAGCTCCTTCACTTACTGGCCATGGTTATCAAAAGTTATGGCTTGGTTGGTTATTACTCTGTTTTCAGGTTTAAACATTTTGGGTTGCCACAACTGAAGATAAAATGTCAATTGGATTTATGTAGAGTACTAGGTTAGGCAAGGATTCTAGTGTTCTCTAGGTAGAGATGATAAGAAATTTGGGATATAATAACTTTATAAAGTGTCTCCAGAATAGAAGCTTCTTGTCAGCAAACAAAGCTCTAATCTAGAATCTTTCAGAGATTTTATTAATTTAGGATTTTGCTAGGTGCGTAGAAGGCTGCCAGATTTTTCTCCCGCTAAAGTGTTGGATTTTGGGGCTGGCACTGGTTCAGCATTCTGGTGAGAAATTGGTCTTGGTTTAATTAAGAATTCTTATTTTTATTTAAAAAAATTTTGAGGTTATGGTCATTTTTACAGAATTGAGTTGCTGATGTTGTAGGGCATTGAGAGAAGTTTGGCCAAAGTCTATTGAGAAAATAAATATAGTGGAACCATCACAATCCATGCAGCGTGCAGGTCGAAGCCTAATACAGGGTAATTGCATATCTTCATTTTTTAATTGGCCAATTGTTATGTTTTTGAGATTAGTTAATAGGTGCTTAAGAAGTTGTTTGTTCATTGCTGGAGAGCGAATTATTCAATTCATGTTGCTCCTGGCATAATGCATTTCTATAATAATACAGCTCTAACAATCTAATCTAAAATGGTTATGAGTATTGAGGTGACAAAAATGTAATGACATGCATGTTAGTTTAGTCATGCCTTCTTTACTCTATCAAATAATATTTCATCAATGAGAATTGTAATGTCTCTGTTTGGGTGTGGAAACTAGTAGTAGAGAATACTTCACTTTCTTAATTTTTCCATTGATTTGTGTTTTATAATCATAGATATAGGTTGTTTTATCAGCTTATATTGGGGTTTCCTTTAATTCATTTAAGATATAATGACGATTAAAGAAGTTTCTGAGATTTTAATGGCATTCTGTTATGATTGTTTTAGGTCTGAAGAACTTGCCCCCCATTCATAGCTATAGCAATATTCAAGCATTAGCTAAAGACCTGAAAAAGTCCGAGAGGGGACACAACCTTGTAATTGCTGTAAGTATGTAGTCTAGCTCAAACTCTTGATTTTTGCTTTACAATAGGTATGGACAAATAAAACCTTTCTGTTGGGTTCAAAAACTGGTACTAATCCATGTTAAATGTTTGCTCTGATGGGGTTAAGTCTTATGTGCTTGGAGAGATTCCCTCAGTGAAGGATCGAATTACCATTGTTCGCCAACTTTGGGATCTTACACAAGATGTTCTGGTAGGTTATTATATTTATTCACATATTCCAAGTCAAGAAGCCCTCTTGACATAGGAAGGGGTTTCCTAATTAAGATATTTTATTTTAAATATTTTAATGTTTTTGGTGTATTAGACACCACTGGTAATATACTTTTCTGAAATTCAATTCTGAACAGGTTTTAGTTGAACCTGGAACACCACATGGATCTAAAATCATTTCTCAAATGCGATCTCATATATTATGGATGGAAAAAAGAGTGAGTGGGTTATTTCCTGTTGATTTTGCTTGCTTTCTTGTGTTGTTTATTAATGGTTGTGATATTTTCGTATACTCATTTGACTGCATTTGTGTTTTCAGAAATGCCGTAAATCTCATGAGAAGGAAACTTCTAAGGAAATTGTAGCTGTCAAAGCTGGGGCATTCATTGTTGCTCCAGTAAGTATAGAAGTTTTTTTCATTTCTTTCATCATGGTCTAAATGCTGAATTGTACTTTTCAACATTTTCTATCTTTCTTTATGTATCGTTTAAAACATAAATTACCAAATTTCCTTTCTTGATGCAGTGCCCTCATGATGGGCCATGTCCATTGGAGAATACCGACAAGTACTGTCATTTTGTTCAACGTTTGCAGAGGACATCTTCACAACGTACACATAAGGTTCACCATTAGTTCTTTTCTTGTATAGTTTAACAGGAAGATTCATATGAGTAGGATTTTATACAGATGGAGGTAGGGATGTTCAGATTGGACAGTGATTTATTCCTCCATTCATTCTAGTAATTATTCTAGATTTAATAAGGTCCATAACCCAGCTGAAACAGAAACTGCAGCCCAAACAGTATACTGTCTCACAAAAAGGAATAGAAGTCAAAAGTAGAAGTCTTTTTTGTCCATGTTTAGTTTGATTTATAACATCAAAATTTAGGTAACCACATCCAAGACTCACAGGGTTGCTTTAGTAAAAATATTGTCTTCCCAAACCTTGCATCCCTTCATCCATCTCTCTTCTCAATACAAGAATATAAATACATAAAAATTTAATGTGTAAGCCCAGGCACAGGGGAAAAACAGAGGCTTGACCCAGGGACCTAGCTAGCAGTTGAGTAGTATTTCTCTATTTTCCCTTTTCTTCATGTATTGGTTGATCTTTTGAAACTAGGGTCTTAGTTGTTTCACAAATTAACTTGATTTATTCATTTCTTCTCTTTGATCAGTGTTTTTTTATAACTGTTTTCTTGGTTTCTCTTCTTCTGGTTGTTGGGGAAATGGGAAAAGAACAAAAATGGATGAATTTTGAAGCAGAATTTGATGTTTGATATTGTTTCAGTAAGAAAAGACTGTGAAAGATCCATTCTTTTGTTTGGTTGGTAATGAAATTATGAATTATTGATTGTTTTTTCTGTTAATCTTTGACAGTTATGTGAGTTTCTTCACAGTTTAAATGAGTTAAGTTTCTAGGAGTGTCTATTTTTGGAGAAAAAGCAGCATAGAAATATATAGAAGGATGGAGTTTGCCTCGGGGAGTTAGATGCAAAGTGTTCATGTTGAGTGTTCTTCCTTATATAGGAAGTTTCCTTGATTTTATAACATATCTAGGAAACAATTGGTAGAATCTTGCCATCATTGTCAGTGAAAAGATTCAGTTTCCCTTGTGTGTAATTTTGATAAGAAATTCGGTTTTTCAGTCTCCCACGATGAAAGGAAAAGCCTTTATTTTTAAAAAATATGAAGTTATCATGTACTTCTCCTTTGATTCTATGCTGTGGTTATGTTTGATATTTTAGTTAGTTACTGCTGTGCACATCCAAGACTCACGGGGATGCTTTAGTCATTTCCTTTTCCTTCAGTTGAAGTAAGACTATAGGATTTATTTGCCAGTGAATGTAATGATTCACTATCTGATATGGCACTTAATTGGGTTTTGAATATCAAATATTAGTTTGTTTTGACTAGTTAAAATTTCTTTTAGTTTTATCACTAAAGTCTGCTTTGTTCATCAATTTTTTTCTAGCGTTCTAAGGGTAATCCTCTACGTGGCTTTGAAGATGAAAAATTTTGCTATGTTGCTTTCAGACGTGGACGACGACCTCAGTCAGTATTCTCTTCTTTTATGTCAAATGCCATTTCATGTAATCTGCAGAAAGTATTTCATAGTGTTCAGAAGTTATAGGTTTGAGCCAATATCCAAGAAGGCTAAGAGAATCATAAATTAAAAGTATATGTTTGCTGATATGAGTCAATTCCTTTTAATAAAATTAAATTTAGTATCATCCCTGGTTGTTAACTGAAATACAAAAACTTTTATTATCCTTTATTTCCAGTTTCCAAACTTTGATAATCTAGGGTCTTATACTAACCATCATCACATCATGTGTATCCTCTCCGCATGATACACTTTCTCTTCAGTTGTCTTGTGTCAGTTAACGTTGCCCATGATTATATTTAAACAGGGAATCTTGGCCTCTTGATGGCATAGAATTTGAGACTTTGAAAGAGCAGCATGCTAAAAGGAATCTAGAAGACCTTGAAATTGACTATGGTATGTCCCAACATTTGTTTACCTGCCATGTTCTCGAGATTTCTTGTGTTGTGACTTGTGACATAATTTGGAGGTTGCTTCTACATGTGGACATGTTTACACATTACTTATTCTTTGTTTATTCTAACAAAGCTGTTAATTCTAACATTTTTTGTTTAAAAAATAAAATGACCTATGCAGAGGATTTGATCAAATTAAATGAAGCGGCTGATATTGTACCATTTGAAGAAACGGATACAACTAACTATGACTCTGATGTTATGGAAGTCGATAAGGATGATGATGACAATGACAAGGAAGATGAAGAAGATGGTAATGATGAAGAAACAGGTCATGCTGATCTTGGAGGTGGCTGGGGAAGGATTATCTTCTCGCCAGTTCATAGAGGCAGGCAGGTTGCAATGAACGTCTGCCGATCGACCAATCGAGATGCCTCTGAGGGCTCATTTGAGCGTATAGTTGTCACACACAGTAAGAATCCAGCACTGCACCATCAGGCCCGGAGATCTCTCTGGGGTGACTTGTGGCCCTTTTGAACCAATCTAATGTGTTCAGCCCCCTTTAAACCACTAATGTAAATGCCATTGTATTACGTTAAATGCTGATTATATATTGGTAATTGGTTGATTGATTGATAATGACCATATTGTTCTGTATCCTCGCTGTGTCTCGTCTCATGCATTAATAAGAAACACGACTTCTGTTGATTATAGTTTCTGGAAGGCGATAGGAGTTTGAAGATATTATCACGAAAACACTGAGCTACCATCTAATCAGAGTATGAGGATGTGATGGTGCCATGAAATGACCGTATTTGCTCAGCCTATGCACTAGAACGAAAAGCACAGCCTTCCTAGAAGATAAGAGGAAGGCTTTCAAAGAAAACCATGGTGATATTAGTCCAAATGCCTTCCTTCTGGTAGGGGAAGAGGTGGTGGTAAGCCATGACTGGCCACATTAAAGAATTCTATTAAAACACAATTTATAAACAAATTAAAGAATCATTACATCTTGTATAGAGAGAGTGACCCAATACAAAAATTAAACCCCGGGCACTAAAGTGGAACCTGGTCGGAGTTTGGGGAGACATGCCAGTACAGTCTTGCGTGTCCTGATGGAACTATGTATACTACATTTCATAATGTTTAGCACGTAGTGGTTTATTGGTCATCCTAACAAAAAAAAAAGTATTCAGACACTTAAAATCTGAATTATATACTTAGGTTCCTTTTCCTGAGATTTTCTATTATAATATATATATATATATATATATATATAGACACACACGCTACACTTCATAATCTATTATTGAGGGCCACATGAACCTAATGTTACAACAATTAAGCATCAATGAGGCTTACAATGCTCAAACAACTATAGCTAGATTATAAGCAGTCTAAAGTCGAATTGGTAAGCCGTAATTATAGTAGGTTCGAATCTTTCCATCCCAGGTTGCAGTAACAATTGCAAGACCCCACATATGTGGAGAACTTAACATGCCCTAGCAAGCATTTTTAACAATCTTTAACTTGATTTGCACCTTTCAGGAGTTACCTTTGCAGGACTTGAATTAGGAAGTGCCTCTTCTGGCCAAGTCACGGGACCCTTCATCAAAGACTTCAAGGCGCGTCAAAGAGAAACAATCTGGTGAAGAGTGCGGCATTTTCTGTTCCAGGTCCGCCTTAGGATTCTTATGCTTCTACTGGTTTATGAAGCTATTCCTCCGCAAATTCTGACTCAAAATTGAGGATGGAAGTGATCCTGGCATGGTTTCAATACCAAGCCATGGTAGAGCAACCAATACATTATGAGATAGGAAACGCTCGCAAGACCAAATTTTCCTAGTTCGGGAAGAGTTCTTATCTTGATTTGTGTAGTTCCAGATGTAAACATTAGAATCCTCACTTGCAGAAATGATATGTTTCCCATCTTGGGTGAAAGTTGCAAACATCTGACTGGCTGCAATCTGAAACCCTGATGCTGAAATGGACAGTAAACAAGTTAAAATTAGAACATAAGCAGCTGGAATGGTGAAGATTTCAAAATCATACCGGATACCACCTTATGTGGTCACATAGAGAGCAACAAGATATTGTAAGACCATATGGGATGCTAGTTTGCAGACCAAATATGGGAGAACACCTAAATAGGCACTCGCCCTTGAATTTGCATACGACATCTACTCCAGATAATACCAGCACAAGTGAATCAGCTGAAGTGACAATGACTTTGCTTGGGTCAGTGCGGAAAACTGGAAAGGAAAGAATAAGGCTTCCCCCAGCAGATAATGAAGAAGGAAAAAAATTTGAAATTATAGGAAAAGATAAAATTCAACTACCTGAAAGCCAGTGATCCTCTTTCCAGACAATTTCTTTTTGCCTTGTAAGCATATTTCAGCTTCCAGTCTCAACTGATTGTCTAACCAAAAGTACGCAATGTTAATTGAGGTTCAACCAGGAAATCTTCAAATTTATAGAATCATTATTGGTTTGGGAGATAGGGCACATGACCATTATAACATTGGATAGATATTTTACTAAAACAAAATTTTGCCAATAGATAAGTCTAGGAGATTGAATAACATTTTATGCACACATAATTATCATCACACTGTGGAGATATTTCAGGAAATGCCAACGCCAAGAGAAAGGAATTACTTCTGATACACAAAATATTACCGAGGGCAATCTAGCATTTATGACACTCTAGATCGTTGTTTTCTGTAAATAGAAGAATAACACAGCATCGTTCTGCAGTGCATTTGGAGTATTAATCATACAAAAAGTATTTTTATTCTCAAATAGGATGAATTGTCATTGAGCGTCCTTAAACTTAAGAAAATCAATTTCCTCCAAGTTTATATGATTGCAATGAAGTCAACACAAAACTCGGGAACAATTTCCATCGGTTTATCTCAAGTCGAACCATGATAAACATCTTAACCCTCAAATAAAGAAATAAGGTCATCTACCAGCCAATACTGACAACAATAAATAAAGCCACTGATGGCACTGAAGGAGTACATGGATGTTATTCAAAACCAACCAACAGATGAGCTATATTCATTGTTGACATATCTTCAATTAGTATGGTTAAATTAATGGGTTTAACTTGTACATACCTATGATTTCATAAAAACGACAGTTGCCAATCATGGAGCCCGCGATTCCACCCTACGATTATTAAGCAAGGAAATATTTTAATGATTCTCTTAAGTTACAGAAGTTTACATTTGTGGGACTTATATATGCAAGGGTTTTTCTAACTTGCACCATTACGTTAAAGTGCATTTATTGCACTTATTAGTTATTAATTTTTATAGAAAAAATAATGATTTTAATTTTATCAAATGTTCAATTAAAATCATCCAAATGGTACTAGCTTTGGAACCAATATCTAGGTTCATATTTTCTTATGATAATTAAATGCTAAAATGTGCAATAAATGCATAGAAAAAACCTATAAGCAAATGATTCAACAAACCTTTCCATCAGGTCAATAACTGACAACAGTGACTATATCCCTTATATCAGTATAATCAACAACTTTACAATGAAGCACTTCCCAGATATGTATTTTTCCATCGATTGGACCACTGATGAAATAATTATCATTCACAGGATTGAATGCAACAGAAGTCACTACATTGATAACAACAGGAATTAAATAATCAGTCATAACTGAAGAAAAGCAAAAGTTTTGTTTAGCTTCAAGGGCTAAGGGGGCATTTAAAAGACATAAATCATTGGTCAACTAACAAAAAAAAAAAAAAACATGATTGATCATATATGCTATTACATAGATGCAAGTGATAAGGGATGCTCACCACAATTGTTATGAGAGAAAACTCTTAGGCATCTTTCATGTCCCACTCTCCATTGACGAATAGTTTTATCAACAAATGATGATAGTAGAAACTAAAGCAAGTGCAAAAAAAGGAAATTAGATTCATTATCATTGCTAGTCTTCAATACATCTTCCCCATGATGGTCAACAAGATGCGCCATGACACCCAATTTCCTCAACCAACTTTGTTTCACCTTTTTTGGAACAACTAAAGGCTTTCATTGTTAACTTCTCCATGCAAGAGTTGTTTATCCAAATAAGATGATAGAAGAGTCATCTTATTATGCTCTTCAAAACTAAGAGATTGGCTAGAGAATGCTCCTAGGTAATTGAACTTTGTTTCAACTTATTAGACTCATGATAATTAAAATTTTATTTAATTATCAAAACAATTTAAAAGGGAAGAGAAGAGAATGAAAGAAAATAGAGAAACAAGTTTTTTTCTCTCCTCCCTCCTTTCTTTCATTTTCCTCAATGTAAACATAAGGGAAGTAACCTTTTAGTCCAAAATTCCTAGAACCCTAAACCTCTGAAATTCTTCCTCAGCACAAACCTTTTTGTTTGCTTTATTAGATTCAAGCTTTTCTACTAAAATGGCATCCTTAATCCCAGAAACAACCTAGAAAATGTTGACCCATGAAGCCCTTTGTTCAACAACCAAGCAATCCACAGGCTGCCTCATCATCCCGATGCACCTTTGTCAGGCCATTAAGAAGTACCTCCAAGGTATGCCATCTTTGCATGTAGCTCACAATTTCCACTTTTGTAACTTACAGTTTTTTCTTTTTGATCAAATGGGTTTTGAATTATTGTAGAGGAAGCGGACCCTTATATGAGGAGGAAGGTGCTGAGCTTATCATAGTTTTTCAGCGAGATCAAGGGCGTCCATCCACACCTCACCTTATCCACATTCAAGGAGCTTGTTGAGGACCCTTTAATGTCTTTGGAATGTTCAAAGAGGTGGAAGATCAAGAGCTCTTATGGAGTTATTGATTTTAAGTATAGTGATTAGCAGACAATGGCTTATGTTGCCTCATGAATGCTTATAGTTTACTTTTCTTTTTATAGGGTTCTTAGTGAGCTATCATAGTTTCTGAATTGCTATGCATAATGGGTCTTTGTTTAAAAACTAAAATCTTGGGTCCATAATCGCCAAAGATCAATTATTTTTGGGTTTATTTTATGGAAATTGGATTCCTTCAACTCCTTCACTTATTGGCCATGGTTATAAAAAGTTACAGCTTGGTTGGTTATTACTTTGTTTTTAGGTTTAAACATTTTGGGTTACCATAACTGAAGATAAAATGACAATTAGATTTATGTAGTGTACTGGGTTAAGCAAGGATTCTAGTGTTCTCTAGGTAGAGATGATACGAAATTTGGGATATAATAACTTTGCAAAGTGTCTCCTGAATAGAAGATCCTTGTCAACAAACAAAGCTTTAATCTAGACACTACCAAAAACGACGATTTTTTGGATTGAAAAATCAATTTGAAAATATTGAATATTGGTTTGAATTTATTTATTCAGACCATTATTGATCCAGTTATGCGGTTTGAAAAAACATGATATAAATAATTTTAATTTCAAACCAACGAATAATCGGTCTTAGTAAAGATAATTTTTAGACCAATTTTGGTATGTATAAAGGTCGACATTTCAAGTAGTAATGAGCCTAAACCAGACAAAAATCGGTTTGAATAAATATGATTTCTAAACCAACAACAGTTTGAATAAATATGATTTCTAAACCAACAACAGTTTGAATAATGATGTAAATTTCAGACCGACAACGAGTTGAAACACATTGGCCTTATTTAGAAAAAGGAAAACATTAGGTCCTTATGTGTTAGTATCTAGAAACTATATTCAGACCAAAATTGGTTCGAAAATTTGCCACCTCATTTAGAAAAATGAAAAAAGTTGGCCCTTCTTTGTTAGTACAATGAAACTATTTCCACACCAAAAGCGGTCCAAAATTGTGTCCTTATTTCAAAAAAAGGAAAAAGTTCAATCCTTTTGTGTTAGTATGTTGAAACTATTTTCAAACCAACATTGATCCGAAAACCTACAACCTTATTTAGAAAAATGAAAAAGTTCAGTTCTTCTGTCACTATGCTAAAACTATTTTCAACATTTGAAAGTTATCCAAACAAACTACGATTTGAAATATAACTGTAAATAGTAAAATATATATATTTACTTAATATATTATATGTCTAAAAAATTCCCAAAAATTTTGTTTTTCTATATACAAATATTTACACATTTTAAAACAAAAAATAAGATATTACATATTATATAATATTTACATGTATAATATTTCTTAAATTAAAAATAAAATATACAAGATACACAAAACTAAAAGTAAAATACCCCCATAATAATTGAAATATAATTTCTTAAATATAATTCCAAAAAAAGTCATAAAATCTATAATATAAAAAAATACTCAAACTTATTTTTTTACATTGTAAATTTAATCATTTCCTACAAAGATAAATGAAATGGGATTAGTAAGATAAAATAGAAATAGGAAAAGTATTAAAAGATAACAAATATATATATATATAGAAGCAAAGTTTAAGATTTACCTAACTTTTCATAATAACCTACAAAGACAAAGTTAGTAAAACAAGAGAAAATTAAATTAAATTCAACTAATATCACAAATTAGCAAAACAAAAACAAAATATAAATTTGAAAACATAAAAACAGGAAATATAGTTAAGAAGTATAGAGAAAAATGGAAGAAATAAGAGGGAAGGGAAGAGAACAAGACAAGAACAAAGATGAGGACTTGAGAAAAATGAAAAGAGAAAGGGAACTAAGACATAGGAAGAGAGGGCAGCACAAAGATGAGGGAAACAAGAGAAATTAGAAGCATGAGAGAAAGAAGAGAGGGGAAGCAGTGAACAAATGGGGAGGAGGAGAAAGATAGCAAAGAAAAAGCAAACAAGAAAATTCAGTGGAGGAGGTAGCATGCATGGAAATATATAGGCAAACTTATTTCAAATTGTAGCTGGTCAAGAATATATTAAATTCACATCTACTGCCCATAATAAAAATTTTGAATGTGGTGAAATTTTTGGTGATTTATTATTTTAGATTACTATTGGCTTGGAAACTGTCAAAATTTTTTGAATTTCTACTTTAAAAATTTTGGCAGAAAAAGTTGTAAATATATTCAAATCAACATTGGTCTAAATAAAAAAAGAAAAAAACCTTAAAGAAATATAGAAGAATGAAAATATATTTAAGTAAAAAAATCACAAAAAAAAAAAAAAAAAAAAATGTTCTATTCGGACCACTATTGGTCCAAATAAGTTTTCCAAACCAATAGTGGTCTGAATATGTATAGCAGAATCTTTTTTTCCCTCAACACCCCAAACCCTACCTTATTTATTCTACTCCTATTCAAACAACATGCTCTAAAGTCTTAAATGCCATAGAGTCTAACCTTAAAATTAACACTACTAAACCTACATGTTTGAGGTTTAGCAATGGCGTAATATAACCTTAAAAGTAATGATCTTAACTCTATGCATTTATGGTTTTGCAATGATGTTGCCTTACGCCACCGTGAAGCCATTT